AGTCATCTCTGATGTCTTCTCCACTGGTTCGGTTGACCCCAATATCAACCACACCTACATTTGCCTCATTCCCAAAACCACTAATCCAGAACTCGTCACCCAATACCGCCCCATCAGTCTTTGTAACACCATTTATAAACTCATCACCAAAACCATTATTGCTCGCCTCAGACCCCTGCTCAACAACCTTATTAGTCCCTACCAAACCAGTTTCATACCGGGAAGAAAAGGAACTGATAATGTTGTTATTGTTCAGGAGGTTGTCCACAGCTTTCGTGCTACAAAAGGCAACAGTGGGAAAATGATCATCAAGCTTGACTTAGAAAAGGCCTTCGACAGACTTGGGTGGGGGTTCATTCGTCACATCCTCATGTTCTTCAATTTTCCAAAGATTTGGATTGACATCATTTTCTCTTGCATTTCCTCATCTACCATGTCAATCCTGTTCAATGGTGGCACAACAGACACCTTCTCCCCCTCTCGCGGTATTTGTCAGGGTGATCTTCTCTCCCCCTATCTCTTTATCCTTTGTATGGAATACTTGTCCATTGCCATCACCCAAGCTTGCGATTAAAAACTATGGTCACCCATTAAAATCAGTAGATCCGGCCCCACCTTATCCCACTTATTCTTTGCTGATGACTCCTCTTTGGGAAAGCCACTGAGGAAAATTGCTCAACCATAGCCGCTGTCCTTAACGACTTCTGTTGCAAATCAGGCCAAAAAATCAATCTGAGCAAATCCAAAGTCTTCTTTTCTGCCAACTTGGATGATAATGCCAAGACCCACCTTGTCAACAAACTCCAAATCCCGATCACCACTAACCTTGGGAAATACCTTGGCTGCCCCATTCACCACACCCGTCCATCCGCCAATTCTTTCTCCTTCATCCTCGAACAAATCCAAAATAAACTGACCGGTTGGAAATCCAAATTACTATCCCTCCCGGGCCGAGTCACCCTTATCAAAGCTGTCAATTTAGCCATCCCTAACCATGCCATGCAATGCAACCACATCCCCAAGTCTGTTACCAAAAAAATAGACAAGCTCAATAGGGACTTCCTTTGGGGTACCACCTCCGAAAAAAAGAAAATACACTCCATCAGTTGGGATAATGTAGCCAAACCAAAGAAAGTTGGAGGGTTAAGCATCAGACAGGCTAGCCTAGTAAACAATGTCAACATGGCCAAGCTCAATTGGAGACTTCTCACTGAAAAACATAAACTTTGGGCTAAAGTTCTGAACTCCAAACCCCGTTCTAAGACCTCAGCCCTCTCTCCCACTTGGAAAGGAATTAACAAAGGGGTTGATCTCTTCCAATTAGGCTTCAAAATCCTCATTCGAAATGGCCTCCATACCTCCTTTTGGTTTGACAATTGGTTAGGCCCTGGCCCATTCCGATCCCTCATCGAAGGGCCTCTCACCCTCTCGGACCAGCACCTTTTGGTTAGAGATTGTTGGGCGGCAAACTCTTGGAACCTAGACAGACTCTCCTTTTCCCTCTCATCTTCTATCACTACCCTCCTCTCTTGCATCACTCTCCAATGGTTTAATCCCACCGATGATTGCCTCACTTGGAAACTCTCCCCTGATGGGTCCTTTACCTCGAGCTCTACTTACTTACACTCCAAACCCTTTCCCCCATTCCTTCCCTTTGATAACTGGACTTGGCTTTGGAAGTGTCGAACTTCACCTAGAATATCCCATTTCCTTTGGCTCACTCTTCACCAACGCCTTAGTACCAAAGACAACCTCCTTCTTCGCCATATCACTAGTGACTCTATCTGCCCTCGCTGCCTTATCCATCCTGAAACCACCACTCATGTCCTTAGGGACTGCAAATTTGCCAAACTTTTCTGGGATGCTCTCCAAATCCCAGCCGATGCCACTCCCTCTTTCGCCCACCCTCTCGCTGTCTGGATTAAATCCAACTGTACCTCCAACCTAACCCACAACTCATCTGCAGACTGGTCAGTCCTTTTTCCCATCTCTTGCTGGTTCATTTGGAAAAATCGCAATTCTTGGTGTCTCTCCACCCCCAACCCTTCCTTGGCCATTGCATCTGCCATGGAATGGCAACATCTCTCTCCATTTAGGAAACCACGCCCCTCTACACCATCCACTATCTCTTGGCTCCCCCCCAACCTGGCCTCTTCAAACTCAATATCGATGGTGCCTCAAAAAACAACCTTGGGCCTGCCGCTGCTGGTGGTATCATTAGGGACTGGACGGGTAAATGGATTTCTGGTTTCTGCCGCAACATTGGTCACTCGTCCAGTATCGAAGCTGAACTTTGGGCCATGCAAGATGGTCTAAAACTTGCTCTTGATCTTAATCTCACAGGAATAGAAGTGGAAACAGATGCAACCATCATGCAAAATCTCATTCTTGGTACCTCCAACCATTGTCATCAACTTAGTAATCTCATTCATGACTGCAGGTACCTCCTGGACCAGCTCGGCACCTCGACTATTAGCCATACCTATCGCGAAGGAAACAAATGCGCAGATTTGCTTGCCAACGAAGGATTCAATCATGAGGGTCTACTTGTTTTTTCTACTATTCCTAATTGTATCTCCCTTCAAGTTTTTGAAGACGCTAGGAGTTCCTTTTACCCTAGAATTGTAACTGCTTAACTATTATCAATCTAATTTCCATCTTTATTACCAAAAAAAAAAAAAAAAGAAATCCTTGTTTCTTATATTTGGATTTCCCTCCATGGTTGACACTTCAACATTTTTATTGCTTTAGAAAAAAGAAGATATTTTCTCTTCTTTCTTTAGCAAATTAATGACCTTATATGATAAGTGTTCATATTTAAAAAAATTAAAAGTGTGCAAAATCACTCCTTAATTATAATTAAAAAAAATCAGCTTAATTAATCAATTTAGCTCTTATATATGCGTATGATTGTGTACCAAACATAATGCAGCCAAGGAAATCCTTGGACAAATTAACCTCTATACTTGTTGCAGCACGGGATTTTTTTATTCCCAAATTCTTCTGTCATGTTGTTCCAATGTACTTTTATTGAATCATGCTTCGAGATTCCACATAATTTAATGATTTGGAATGATTGAACATAGGAAGACAGGAGGGCAAAACTAGGGGTGTTCGCGATTCGGTTGTAGAGTAGAAACTTCCAATCCGACATTTGTCTAAAATTAGATAGATGGGAGAAAATCAATCTACAATCATCCGACGGATTGACGGATTGGCAAATGGATATGAATCGGTTTGATAGTTTATATTTTTTTTCTTTTGGGATATCATTCCAATATGTCTTATTCATAATGACTACAAACAGGATAATAATCCAACAAACCTCTATGTTAACAATGATTGTAAACTAGGAGTGCTTATAGTTCGATTGAGGCCTGTGAATCTCCAATATGTCATCAATCCAAAACTAAACAAATTGGAGAAAATCAATTTTTATCCACCCGTTTGTCATCACGCATTCGTCCAAAATGTTATAGATCGGATCGGTTTGGACGGATCAGCATATCTACTGAGCATCCCTAAGCAAAACGGTTTGGGAACAGATTATTTTTGGAAACACAAAAGAATCAGTGGCATATAAGCAAGGCAACAACACTAGTTTGCCACTGATTAACTTGGACTTAGCATTGTTAAACTCACTTTCTTCAAGTTAATCATATTGATATACTCACATTCTTCATTTTGGCCCTGTTGGTGGACTCGTGTTTTTGAGTTTACTGGATTAGCAAGATGTAGATTCCTTGTGGAACGCTTTTCAAGATTTTTTTTCCTCCAACATTTTCTCAGCTTTAAGTCCACCAATCAATCTTTCATAGATGAAGTTTCCATATATATCATCAACTGGAAAAGCATCTTTAATTCACTTTCTTTTAGACTTTAACACCACCAATCCTTGCAAAAGTAAGTTCATCTTTACTGACTCTTCTTCTAGTCCTCTTCACAAGCTCTCTGGTCTTTATATAGATCAATTCATGACTAAAACATCATATATATCATATTACACTCTTCCTAGCTGCTTCATTGATCTGATATTTTCACCCAATTCAGGTATATGTTTCCAAACTCTGTGGAAAATGCTAATGACAACCCAAATAACGTCTCGATGAGAGCAAGGAAAAGTACTTAAAATATATTATAAAAAAATGCTCGAAAACATGTAAAATTGTTCAGAAATGTATGAAATGTCACTATAAGAAAATAAGATATTAGAAACAAATTTTTAAGAAGCAAAAATTATACTTTTAAAGGCAAAATGAAAATATTTTTTAAAAATATATATATATATATATTTAATTATGTTATTATATTTTTGAAATAAGTCTATTTGGTTGCAGAAGGGTTAATGAGTTTTTGCCTCCAATTTTGGTTGGTCCCCAATAAACTCGACTCGACTCATACATTATTTTAATTCTTTGAACTTCAATAGTCGGGATTCATTCTTTGAAGAATGGCTCTCTCTCTATCTCGATCTATCGAATCCCTAATTTCCTTCTCCATAGAATCTGTGGTTTGTTGATTTCGATCCCTAATCTGATCTTAGAGACTCCTGATCTGCAGTTCTAATCGGTGGTTTGTTGATTTCATCCCTGAGGAGTCTCATAGTGTCTCTCTTGACAGCGATTTCAGTATCCAGGTTTGATCGATTAATCGATTTTAGTCTCATTGATTTGGTTTTCCATCTATTGTTTGCATTTGTTCTTCGAAAATGATTGTTTATTAGTGTAATGTTTGTATTGATTGTGTAGTATCAGCAACGGCCTTTTCAACCCTGAGTCTATCTTTGAGGAACAACACCAGTGGCAGCAAGAGCAAGAACGCTGTAGCATCATCTACATCTCTTCGTCAGAAAACCCTAAGTCTGGTCTTGGAACTGAAGGAATTGGCCTCTTCGCTTTTGGACTCCGCTAAGCGCCATCTCGATCGCTTGCATTAGGAGATCCTCAAGGACCTCGAGGTCTCTCTCTCTCTCTCGTCTCCATAAACGATTAAAGGTCCCTCTCTCTCTCTCTCTCTCTGAAATTTTATTGTGATGTGCTCTAATTGCTTGACCGAAATTTCACCATAGAACTACAGGTTGAGTTTTGATTGTTCTATCTCTGTTTCTGTGTGAGCACGCACAAGTGTGTGCTCCTCTGCATTGTTATTATTATTATTTGTAATCTCGAGTTCACTTCCAGAAAAGAAAAAAAAATTTTTGCAGAATGAGAGGTTGAAATGTTAGGTTCGTTATATGTAATGATTTGATAGTCTGGATTTGATTTACTATGACTAGTTTAGATTAAATTTTATGAGATGACCATAATTGTCATTGAAATTATGAGATTGCTGTCTATTACAATGATATAAGATTTTATATTGACCTCTCTTAGGGAGTGTATTAGTAATTTAACCAAAATAAAATAAAATAAAATTTGGAACACTTGGTATGCAGCAAGTCCAAACAGAGCGACTGAAAAGAGAGCAACATAGAGCATAATAAGCAGCCACCAAATCAACCAACAAGTGAATCCAATGCCTGAGTTGTATTGAATCAACTACCTACCTACTACAATGAGTCAAAAGACAAATCAGCTAATTTTTAACTCTTAAGCCATAAATAATTAGATTTCTATCCTATCATATCCCCATTTGCTTTTGTATTCAAGCATGCACCTGTATAAGATCAAAGTGCCTTCATTAGTAGCTGAAGCATTGAGAAAGGGAGAAAAAAGGAATGGCCTACTCTTCCTCTTGGCCAAGTTTTTTTTTGTTGGTTTCACTCTTACTTGGCTTCTTATTGCAGATTGGGTTAACAATATTTGTAGCAGGTCCCAATATGCTGGTTTTTGCACCGCAACTTTGAGGCCTGACCAAAATGCTGGGTTAACAATAGTAGAACCTTTAAATTTTATTCAGTTAAATAGTCTACTAGGATCCTTTCAATTTTTGTGCAGTTAGATCCACTATGATCCAGGTCTGTGGTACATAATGTTAAATCCACACATTTTAAATCCACATCCATTCAAATAGATCCTAAGAATTTCAACTCTTTCTATCTCTCTACAATTTTTGTAATTTCTGAGCTGGATGGCTATTTGACACAAAATAAATAATAAATAAATAAAATTTATACATGTATAATATGACTACTACTCCTTGTGACAAGTTGGGATGAAGTTGCTAAGCACTGATGATGCATCTTCAATATTGTTTTTGGTCACATCTCAATCAACTTGATTAATGTGAATTGTGTAATGAGCCAAAGTGACCATGCCTCAAGGAAGAGACGGCAAAATTGGCGATGATGTAGATCAGTTAGAGATTGATGATGGAAGAGATTGTATTACCTTGCCATAATGTGGTGTGCTTCCTGCCATCCAATGTGTTTGATTACAGTTGCATGTATAGTTTTTCTAATGCATTCTCTCAAATTTTGTTCACTGATTGAGTTTTTTATAACTTGCCTTATCCTCACCATTATAGGGAAAGTGGTGAAATGTGTGCAATGAAGGAGGTTACATTATTCTCGAATGACGCAAAGTCAAAGGAAAGTGCAAACCAGTTGGGACAAGTAAGTTTGGTAGTCATAAATTTAATTGAGGTTCTCTGCAGGATAAGGCTTCTTGTTTTTCATTAGAAATTAGTTCTCTTTTTGCTTGTTTTGGTCTAATTTCTATTAACTGTTGGATAAAAGTTCTTATGTTGAGTGTTTCTGACAGGAAATTGCTTTATTGAGTCGGTTAAAGCATCCTAATATTGTGCAGTATTATGGGTCTGAATGAGTAAGTTTTATGCCTTCCATTTACTTTTGTTGATTTTAAAAATGGGTAATGCTTTTGTTTTTTGTTGTAACACGTATTTTGATGTTGTCATTATTTCTAGAAGTTATTTTGATGTTCTGAAACGGAAGACTCATTAAGTGATGCTAACTACTAAAAAATTTTCTGATATAGTTTCCCGTGGACCGTAATTTTGGGCATTTATGGAAATCGTTTAGTTGATAGGCTGTACTACTACACATTTGATATTGCATCTTAGAGAGAAGTACATTTTTATTTGTCACTTCCAGAAGTCTTTTGATCTAACACTATCTCTGAACTTATAATTTGTGCTATATCTTGTGTGCAGGGATATTGAAGGAGCAAATATCCTTGTGGACCTAAATGGCTGTATCAAATTGGCTGATTTTGGAATGGCAAAGCATGTAAGTCTAGGCAGTAATATGTATATACTCGTGAAATGTAATCAAACCAATTGAGTATTAGTCATGTTTGAGTTAAGTACTAAATTGTATGTTTGTGTGTGTGAATATTATCATTCATTGAGTTTACACAAGCAGGGATATTTTTTTTTAAAGATGGACATAGTATGCTTTGCCATTTACTATTATAGCCTGTCATGTACCTCGAATTAAATTATCTCTGGCTGCTAGATATTTCATAACAAGTGTCAACCAATACTTGGCACTAAACCATGAGATCGCCTGTTGAAATCCATCCTCCTAGAAAATATAATGGCATCCTTCAAATTTGAAGATCGTTGGGTAGTCATATCCATTATCATTTAAGGGAAGTCCTTATCGGTTGGCACCCTAGGTCAGGATATACTTATGTAGCCTTAATTTTTTGGTTATGACACAGTTTGGTTACAAATATTCGTAATTCGTGCTTTTCTTTAGACACTTATTTATCAAAAATCAGCCAAGTAGAGTTTTGTATGTACATCTGAAGTATACATCTTAATCAGAATTCTTACATTCCTACTTACCAAAAATAAAATGAAATCAGAATTCTTACATTCCAATTTCAATAGATAGTAGAATGTATCCTGGGTTTTACACAATAGTTTCCTTTGCAATTTAGTTTGTAAATATACATGTGAGGTGTTTTGGGAAAACTTCAAAATGCCATATTGGTATAAGAAGAATATAAAACCAATGAAGATTTAATGCACATATTTCTTTTTCAAGTGAATAGCCCTAAAGTATATGCTGGTTGCAAGTATGCTTATTATTGATTAAAATCAGAGATGTTAGCTTTGATTGTCATTGTTGCTAAAATTTGAGCCTAGATGGAGAGGAATGATTGATTTTTTTTATTCTTTATAATAATTATATGTTTTCCTGCTCGACTCCTTATGTTGGAAGATGTTTAGTTAAATTACCATGTTTGATGAATGGCAAAGCTTGTAAGTCTAGGCAGCAATATGTATATACTCGTGAAATGTAATCAAACCAATTGAGTATTAGTCATGTTTGAGTTAAGTACTAAATTGTATGTTTGTGTGTGTGAATATTATCATTCATCGAGTTTACACAGGCAGAGATAATTTTTTTTAAAGATGGACATAGTATGCTTTGCCATTTACTGTTATAGCCTGTCATGTACCTCGAATTAAATTATCTCTGGCCACTAGATATTTCATAACAAGTGTCAACCAATGCTTGGCACTAAACCATGAGATCGCCCATTGAAATCTATCCTCCTAGAAAATATAATGGCATCCTTTAAATTTGAAGATCGTTGGGTAGTCATGTCCATTATCATTTAAGGGAAGTCCTTACTGGTTGGCACCCTAGGTCAGGATATACTATGTAGCCTTAATTTTTTGGTTATGACACAGTTTGGATACAAATATTCGTAATTCGTGCTTTTCTTTAGACACTTATTTATCAAAAATCAGCCAAGTAGAGTTTTGTATGTACATCTGAAGTATTATAGACACAAATTTTAAAACATGAAGGTGTCGTTTGGTAACACTTAGGTGTCGTTTGGTAACACTTACGTTTTTAGTTTTCTGTTTATATTTACAAAAATTTAAAAAACTGAAATAAAAACTTGTTTGGTAAAATTTTTGATTTATAAATCAGTGGTCTCAGTTTATAAATTTGGCCAAAAAATGAAAACACAAAAAATGTGTTTCCGTTTTGAGTTTTGAGTTTTTTTTTTTTACCACCTAACACTAGCCACCCCCCGCCACCATTTTCCACCACCATCTTTCGCCACCACCACCCGCCATCATTTTCCACCACTCGTCTCTACCCACCACCCGCCATCACTTATCATTTCTCACTCATTTTTATATTTTTAAATTTTTTTAAACATTTTGTCTAAACCAAACGCATTTGTAGTTTATGTTTTTCTAAAAATAAACAAAAATCAGTTTATAAAATTTTTGTAAATATAAAAAGAAATTTTACTCCTTCTGTGTTTACGAATATTTTGAAATGAACGCTTTGTTACTCCATTTGTGGTTTTGAACACTTTGAAATGTTACTCCTTCATACTTTTCGTGAAAATACTTACACCATTTTTGAAAAGTTACTCCTTTAAGTTTGTGAGCGGCAACTTAAAGCTTCGTCAGAAGTCACTTATAGCATTTGTGATAAAAAAAACAAAAAATTTACACATTTAGCTTGTGCTTACACCTTTTCGTGGCAGGGCTTACACCATTTTTGAAAAGTTACTCCTTTAAGTTTGTGAGCGGCAACTTAAAGCTTCGTCAGAAGTCACTTATAGCATTTGTGATAAAAAAAACAAAAAAATTACACATTTAGCTTGTGCTTACACCTTTTCGTGGCAGGGCTTACACCATTTTTGAAAAGTTACTCCTTTAAGTTTGTGAGCGGCAACTTAAAGCTTCGTCAGAAGTCACTTATAGCATTTGTGATAAAAAAAACAAAAAAATTACACATTTAGCTTGTGCTTACACCTTTTCGTGGCAGGGCTTACACCATTTTTGAAAAGTTACTCCTTTAAGTTTGTGAGCGGCAACTTAAAGCTTCGTC